TCATATGAAGAGAGAGAACCAGCTGCTCTGGCCAAACCAGGGAAGGCACCAAACATGCAACTAGAAAGTTATCTTGGCCATTCCATTCTCAGAAGATGTGACATACCAGCTAAAAGCCAGACTCAAGGCCCAGACATATGGCATCACTTGAGCAATCCTCTCCATCTCTGGCCATTTGACCTGAAGGCCCACTCCATCACGAAGCAGAGATAAGTCATTTCCACTATGCCCTGCACACATTCCTGACAAACAAAATTGTGACTATGACAAAAATATTTGTTGTTTTAAGTCACCGTGATTCGGGATAGTTCGTTATGCAGCAGAAGATAGAGGGTTTTAGTGCAGTAGAGTATTATGACTCCTCCTGTCTTTGTTTTGTACTGCTATAACAGAATATTTGAGGCTGGTTAATTTACAAAGAACAGCAATTTCTTTCTCTTTTTCTCTCTTTCTTTCTGTTTCTTCCTTTCTTTTTTTTGAGACAGAGTCTCACTCTGTCACCCATGCTGGAGTGCAGTGGCATGATCTCGGCTCACTGCAAACTCTGCCTCCCAGGTTCAAGCGATTCTCCTGCCTCAGCCTCCTGAGTAGCTGGGATTACAGCCACACGCCACCATGCCCAGCTAATTTTTATATTTTTTAGTAGAGACGGGGTTTTACCGTGTTGGCCAGGATGGTCTCAATCTCCCGACCTCGTGATCTGCCAGCCTCGGCCTCCCAAAATGCTGGGATTATAGGCGTGAGCCACCGTGCTGGGCCTCCAATCACCTCTTAAAGGTCCCACCTCTCAACACTTGCATTGGAGATCAAGTTTCCAACACAGGAACTTTAGGAAGCACATTCAGACCATAGCACTTCCTCATTAAATAATCATGGGGGCATTCCAGAAACACATATTTGTTTCTCTGGATTTGGCCAATGTGGGTCTGTCCCCAACAATTTGCCCATGCTGAATGTATTGACAACAATTCGTCTCTGAAACCTGAAACACTGAGAACTGAAGGGTCGATCTTTTTCAATCTGCCCACCTCCCTCATGGTCTTTTCTTCCCACTATACTATGTCAAACAACCCAGATCAGGGAGCTGGAAGAAGAGTGTCACAAAGAAGTTTACCATTAGATGTATCCACTGCTCAGTACCACTCACAGCACCTCCTCTGTGCCTAAGACTGTGCTGGCACTTGGGGGAAAGAGGTAGGAAAGACATAGGCCCAGCCCTCACAGCTTCACAGCCCAATTTCTAAGTCAAATAAACAAGTGATGATAAGAAATCTAATACATAATGGCCAGGCACAGTGGTTCATGCCTATAATCCCAGAACTCTGGGAGGCCAAAGTGCAAGAATTGCTTGAGCTCAGGAGTTTGAGAACAGCCTGGGCATAGCGAAACCTGTCTCTACCAATAATACAAAAATTAGGCAGGCATGGTGGTGCATGCCTGTGGTCCCAGCTACTTGGGAGGCTGAGGCGGGAGGATGGCTGGAGCCCAGGAGGTCAAGGCTGCAGTGAGTCATGACCACACCACTGCACTCCAGTTTTGGTGACAGAGTGAGACCCTATCCCAAAAAAAAGAGAGAGAGAAACATGATAATGTAAAATGACACATACGTGCTTGGGACATTGGAGGAGTTGAGAGGATTAAATCATTAATCTCCTGGGCATTGGGGGACACAGGGAGGGTCACCAAGCCAGGCAGTCCACAATAAGAGCTACAGAATAGATACCATTCTCAGGGTCAATATCTTCAAAAGAAATTAATTTGATATAAATGTAACATATGTGTACATTCCATTTTTCCAGTGTTCAACATAATTTTTATTAGGAAAGAGAAAGGCACTGGCATTTATGGAGTAGTATGACTTTTACATGCCCTAATCCCTGCCTCACTCCTTTAAGTGCTACAAGCTTTCCTAAGCTGATTTTTACTACTTTTATGTATAAAAAACTGCTAATGCAGTTTTTGACAACTGAGGGCGCAAGGGACATTGTGGTTGGCTGTTCCTAAGCCCCTTCCAGTCCTCCCCTTTGTGTGGTAGACACCTGATTTGGGTAGGAGGGACCCCAATTCCAGCTTAAGAGTGAACCTGCACAGAGGTAAGCTAACTAAGGTATGTCTGTCTCCTCCTGGCCACTATGATGGGTTCATGGATAGGCAATTAACCCACACCAAGCCAGTCAACCAACTCCTGCAAGACAGATGAGCCAAGAGAACTGCAGAAAAGCAGAGCTGTCATTTTTAAATTTAGAGATGGGGTCTTGCTATATTTCCCAGTCTGGTCTCAAACTCCTGCACTCAAGGGATCCTTCTGCCTCAGCCTCTTGAGTAGCTCGGGCACTGTAGGAATGTGCCATCACACTCAGCCAAAGCTGTAGCTTTGATGACTTCCTGATTCTCTAGAACAAAGCACACTTGAAGGACACTCAACTATTGGCATTTTCAGTTCTATGAGCCAATAAAGCTGCTTTATAGTTTAAGCCAGTTTGAGTGGAAACCCAACAAATTCTAACTGATACAAAGTGAGTAACTGAAACATATCCCAAAACCATCCCTGCCACTGCAGTCCATAGAAAAATTGTCTCCCACAAGACTGCTGCCAAATAGGTTGGGGACCACTGGCTGAAAAGATCTGGGTCCACAAGAAATGATTTCAAAATTGTCTCTCAGTATTTTGTGACCTGCCCCTGTCAACCTGAAATAATCAAATTTTCTAGATGTACAACACTCCTTTCTCTATTAACTCACATTAGCCACATGTAGTGGGAAAAGCTAATGTGTGGGAAGAGCTAATGTATTTCCCATGGGACAGCCCAGGTTCTTGTGCTCCAACATCTTTGGGATACAAGGACTGAAATCAGGGGCCTCTGCTACATCCCAGCCCTGGACTCTCCTTTAAAAGGCCATACATCCTGACTTTCTCCTGCTTTCTCTTCTTCCTCCTCCTAAAGCTAACTAGAATGTCTTTGGTAGTAACTGCTCTAGAGATAATCCTAAGCAAATCTGCCCCTTAGTTTTCACTCTTGAGGCATTTACTGGGCCTCTCACATTTCTAGAGGTTAAATCAAGCAGAAGTTAACAGGAGTCTGTTTTCTTGGCTTAAAGCAGGAGTCCCCAGCCCCCGAACCACAGACCAGTACTAGTCTGTGACCTGTTAGGAACCAGGCCTCACATCAGGAGGTAAGTGGAAGGCAAAGCTTCATCTGTATTTACAGCTGCTCCCCATCGCTCACATTACCACCTGAGCTCAGCCTCCTGTCAGATCAGTGCTGGTATTAGATTCTCATAGGAGCACAAACCCTATTTTGAACCATGCATGTGAGGGATAAAGGTTGTGCACTCCTTATGAAAATCTAATGCCTGATCTGTAACTGTCTCCCATCACCCCCAGATGGGACAGTCTGGTTGCACGAAAATAAGCTCAGGGCTCCCACTGATTCCACATTATGGTGAGTTGTATAGTTATTTCATTATATGTTAAAATGTAACAATAATAAAGTGCACAATAAATGTAATGCACTTGAATCATCCCAAAACCATCCCCGCCACCCCACTCTATGGAAAAATTGTCTTCCACAAAACTGGTGACGAAAAGGTTGGGGACCACTGGCTTAAAGAATCTGGGTCCACAAGAAGTGATTTCAAAACCGTCTCTCAGTATTTTGTGACCTGCCCCCTGTCATCCTGAAATAATCAAAAGAATCAGAATCCAGTTTTAAACATTTTATTCAAGTGAAAAGCTGGGAATAGCCATTTGGGAAACACACACTTCAGAAAAATGGGGTCAGTGCTGCAAAGTTAAAAGTTAAGTGCTTGCTTATATAGGCAGGAAACAAAGTTTCATAGGATTATAACATTTTCTTTTTTTTTTTTTTTTTAAGGAGGGAGGGAGGGAGGAAGGGAGGGAGGGAAGGAAGGAAGCATAACATTTTCTTTACAAGGCTGGTTTATGAGTTACAATTTAATTAGTTATCATTTGTTTTATTTTCCACGTGTCTCATTTTTATTTCCTTTCCAATTTAAAATAGTATAGTCAACATTTCATCTTAAAGCAATGTGATAGGCATGAATTATTTGCATGAGAAAGGTAAAAGGAAGTTAATCTATAATGAAGTTCAATAGTGAAGAGGGAAGGGCTCTTCTTCCTTGGCCCCCTGTAGACATTTATAACATTTTACAAAACAACAGAGATAGGGAAGAAAGCCAATCTATTATCAGAGAAACAAAGGTTACAGCTGCTTAGGTTACGGCAGCCTGCTTATGTGACTTGAGTCCCGTAATTACATAATCACATTCCCTTAAGGCTCAAAATATTTTAAAGTTTCAACAGCTTAGATTTTGAATTATTTTACTTTCACATCCCCAAGTCTCACAAACATGAGACCAACAGGGAAGGTTGCGGGGATAGACAGCAGCCACTGGGCCGGTGATCCCAAGTGCTAGGATTACAGGTGTGAGCCACTACGCCCAGCCTCAGACTGATTTCTTAATAACAAAAAGTACCTTTTCCTTACTTTCTGTGGTTTTGCTTCCACGCCCAGAGAAGCAGCATTGTGTTTTCTGGGAAGGGGAAATTTACCTTGCAAATAACCAAGAGGCTTCTATAATCCTCCTAAACTTATTTCCTTTGGAAGAAGTCTGTGGTAGCCAACATCACCGTAGAGCTAGTGATTCTATAACATCTGTCAGCTTACACACTTGCCTCTGCCACTCTCTTCCAAGACAGCTCCCTCAACCTCTGCTCACTTCAAGTCCAGCATCCAGATCCCCTCTTAGCTGGTGCCCTCCTGATTCACACCCCTCATCTTCCTGTTTGTCTCAGCCCCAAGGGCTCTGTCTGCACTTTGCACATTCTCCCTACAAATTTCCAGTTTATGACCATAGCCTCAGTGGGTCCCCAGCTGAGTTCCTCCAACCTTCACTTTTTGCCTAACGTCTCCTCACCTCCAGCTTCTCTGTTCCAGTGCCCACCCCCCACCCCAGGACGCGATGCCCCCGCCGGTTACCTGTAACTTGTGCAGCTTCAAGGCGTAACCTTGAGCAAACAGCTGGAAGAGGAAGCGCAGCTGCCCTAGACGTGGAATCTCCTCTAAGCTCCGTAGCCGCCGCCGGTCACCAGGTCCGGCTCCGGGAGCTTCAGCGGCCTTATCCACCGGGAAGGCTGCAGGGATCGCGCCCTTGGCTCTGGCCCCATGGGGGCAGAGGCCACGGCCGGCCCCTCGCAGCGCCCACCTCAGCCTCGCGCAGCCCAGCGCAGCCATGGGTTGTGCTCGCGCGGCTGCAGTTTTGGGTCCCGAGTGCGAAGTGCCTGGACCAGCCCGGGCAGCAGCGCAGGGCGGGTTCAAAGGCCGGGCGACTGGGAGGGCCGAGCAAAGGCCAGCCAGGCCCTTCCCGCTCACTCCCTCGCTGCCCTCACTCCTCCCAGTGACGCGGGGGCTGCCAGAGAGAGACGCGGAGATTCGGAAACACCACTGCGCACCCCCGGACCGAGGCCTCCGCCACCTACTCCCCACCCGCTCCCCCGCGGCCTCTCAAATAACTTTTCGTTTGGTCTGAACCCTGGGCGGGGGTGCTGCGAAGATTCTTTAGAAACTGGGAAGCCCTGGGACAGGCCCTAGCCTGGCTGTAGGTTCCCATAGCGACTCTCGCGTCCTGCAGAAATGGAACCCACCGCGGCTAAGTTGCCCTCGGCTTCTCCCAATGACCGTCCGGATTGATCCCGGAGTCACTGCGGAGAGAGCGAGGCCAGTCATCTGATCCCTAGAGGGGGCCGCCGGACAAAGAAATTTAAATTTTGTTTTTAATGCAGTTCTCCCCCCGCACCTCCCTGCCGCACCTGCCAAGGCAGGGTGTTTCAAACTGCAGATTGAAACCAGATGTAGTGGCTGATGGCCAGAATTTTTTTTTTTTTTTTTTTTTAGACGAAATCTTGCTCTGTCACCCAGGATGGAGTGCAGTGGCGCGATGCAGGATCTCGGCTCACTGCAACCTCCCCCTCTCGGGTTCAAGCAATTCTCCTGCCTCCGCCTCCCAAGTAGCTGGAATTACAGGCGCAGGCCAGCATGCCCGGCTAATTTTTGTATTTTTAATAGAGATGGGGTTTCACCATATTGGTCAAGCTGGTCTCAAACGCCTAACCTCCTGATCCGCCCACCTCGGCCTCCCAAAGTGCTGGGATTATAAGCATGAGCCACCACACCCGGCCCAGAATTATTTTTATTAAAATGAAGAGTAACATAGTACAGAAAACTTATTGCAAATAGAAAAAAAAAAAGTATTGTCTTTTATAAATCCTATGTTTCATGTATATTCAAAGTACAGTTTTCAAAAAGTTTTCAAACATGGCATGCAAATACAAAATAGATACAGGGTAAAGGATCACATTCAACCCAGGAATGAAGGACCCAACAGGATGGTAAAGCTGGATCTAAGAGCGTTTGAAGAATTGTTAATTTATAGGCAGCCAGAGAAGAAAGAGCATAGTAAGTTCAATTAGACTGACAGCTGAGTGGCTAGGTGCAGCTTTCTTTTATTTATCCTCGAGCTCCTAGTTTTTTCAGTTTGTGACTGGATGTCTTTCATCAGTTTGGGGAGTTTCTCAGCCATTATCTGCTCAAACATTGCTTCTCCCTATTTTTTCTCCTATCCTGGGACTTCAAACTGCTATATGTGTTACATCTCCCTATCTCCTTCCTCTCTCTTACCCTGTCTTCTGATTTTTGTTCCTTTTGTGTCATCTAGTTTGTTAATTCTCTCCCCTACATTCTCCAGACAGAGTCTCAGTCTGTCACACAGCCTAGAGTGCAGTGGTGCAATCTTGGCTCACTGTAACCTCCACCTCCCAGTTCAAGCAATTCTCCTGTCTCAGCCTCCTGAGTAGCTAGAATTACAGGCATGGGCCACCACGCCTGGCTAATTTTTGTATTTTTAAATTTTTTATTTTTTTAATTACTTTTTTTTTTTACAGTCCAGGGTTTTTGTTTGTTTGTTTTTACACCTATTATGCCATGAATTCACAGGGAATAGGTTCCAGCAGCTCAGGCTCCTTCCCATTGGTTCTTACAACGTGTGCTTCTCTGGATGGAGCAGGCTGGCACTTCAGTTGAACCCAGGTACCTTTCTCTTTGGCATCTTTCTTTTTCTGATCGTTTTCCTTCACACGTTTCAGAAAGCGATCTCGGCTATTAAAGTGCTTAATGTGCTCAATACACATATTAATTCTCTTGGCAAGAATGTTGCCCTTGGCCGGGCAAGGTTGCCCATACCTGTAATTCCAGCACTTTGGGAGGCCAAGGCCAGTGGATCACAAGGTCAGGAGTTCAAGACTCAGCCTGGCCAGGATGGTGAAACCCCATCTCTTATAAAAAAAAAAAAAAAAAGAAAGAAAAGAAAGAAAGAATATTGCCCTTAACTTGTTTGTTTACAATGCCAACAGCATGCTGGGGAACACTGTAGACTCTTCCAGTTTTGCCATGGTAACCCTTGTGGGGCATTCATTTTTGAACAATACCCACCCATCCCCTTGATGTCTACAATATCACCTTTCTTATATACTCACATATATGTGACCAAAGGAACAGCTCCATGTTTTCTAAAAGGCTTAGAGAACATATATCATGTACCCCTCCTCTTTCCCTTTGTGTCTGTCCTTTGGCAAATTACTGGAAGATGGTGGTTCTGGCCAAAAGGGATTTTTGTATTTTTAGTAGAGATGGGGTTTTGCCATGCTGGCCAGGCTTGTCTCAAACTTCTGACCACAGGTGATCCACCCACTCTGGACTCCCAAAGTGCTGGGATTACAGGTGTGAGCCACAGTGCCCAGCCCAGACCATATTTTTCATTTAGTTTTTGGACAGGAAGGACAGAAGGCCATGCTTTAAAAATGTGGTACATGCCTGTAACCCTAGCTACTAAGGAGGCTGAGGCAGGAAAATCACTTGAACCGGGGAGGTGGAGATTGCAGTGAGCTGAGATCGTGCCACACATTCCAGCCTGGGTAACAGAGCAATATTCCATCTCAGGGAAAAAATATATATACATACATAGAGAGAGAGAGTCTAGTTCAAGAATTAGTAGCCATTAATGAGGTCATAATTCCCTTACATCCTTTGTTGCCAAATCCTTACATCATAGTTAACCAAATACTAGAAAACACCAAGTAGTTCACAGTGTTAGTTCATAAGAATGCTTTCTTTTGTATCTCTTTGCACCTCAACTCTCAGTATTTATTTTCTTTCAAGCAGACTGATCCTGAAACTACTATCACCCACTGTACACTGGGCTGATACTGCCTCATGGCTTTAGGGATAGCCCTCATTTGTTCAAAAATGCCTTGGCACAAAAATTAAGAAAGCTAGAGCTAAAAAGGAGAGCCACACTCTAGTATGTAAATAACACCTCTGTAGACAGTCTCACTGAAGAGGACTCAAATAAAAATGCCATTCAAGCCCTAAACTTGCTTAAAAAAAAAAAGAGTTTTCTCCATCCCAGGCCCAAATTTCTAAACCAAAAGTGAAATACATGTAGTACATCCTAAACCCTGGAAAGTGGACATTGTCCATCAAACAAAAGCTTACTTCTAAGTAAACCTCCACAGACAAACAAACAACTAAGAACTTTCCTGGGTATCGCAGGATTTTGCAGAATTGGGATCACAGGATTTAGACTCACTGCTAAGCCATTGTATGAGGCCCTAACGGGGCCAAAACATAAGCCAGTCAAATGATCGATAAAACAAGAGGCTTTATCTTCTAGCTAAACAAAGGGCTTTGCACAGTAATAAACCACAGCTGTTGTTCTTATATTAACAACTCAGGATTAATTAAACTACCAGCTCAAAAGATTTACCAACATGCCACCTGGCTACATAATTTCAATAAGTACACTGCTCAACCATCTGGGACCCCATCAAAAAATACCTGCCAAGTGTGACACAGTTCCCACCTTTCCTGGAACCTTTAATAACTCTAATTTCTACTACTTGATCCTTCCTTGTTTAACCTCCTTATAAAGTGTGTGTGTTATGGGTTACAACAGTTCCATGTCAAAATAATGGTCATACAAAAATTCCAACCAATCTCTGCCTCGGACTCAGACTCTTCAATAATCTACCCTTGGGACGCTTAAACCAGGCAGCCAGAAATTTCCATGCCCTAACTAGACATGGCCAATAGCCCTAATCAACAAAAAGTAAATATAAAGCACTGACCACCTCCCTCATCAACCCTTAAAAATAAAGAATCATAATCTCTGAGCGTGGTCAAATGAGACAGGAAAAATACACAGTGGTCTCGGGGAAGGAAACAATTCCAGGCAGCAGCTTCACACAACTAGCAAAAGGAAACTGTTAAAATAGTTGCATAAGCTATGGGCCAGTAAGACTCTGAAAACCAAGATGTGGGTCAAGCTGGCTAAGACTGATGGGACCCAACATAGCACTGGATTTGACGTAGGTTTCACCTAGGACCTCATTATACAAGCATTAATATACTAAATCACACACCCACCAGCGCTGTGACAGCTCTAGGAAAAGCCATATTTGATGGCACCAAATGCATGGCACCATAGTTCTGAGAAATCTTTACCTTTTTCCAGAAATCTTCATGAATATTCCACCCCTTGGTTAAAGAAACTCTAAACCCCATGTGCGACTGTCTTTCCCGAGCCAGCCCACACTCCCCTTTCTTGAATGTGTACTTTCCACTGCAATACCCATATTTTCACTATTTTCTGACTCATCCTTGAATTCCTTCTTGCAGTGGTGACAAGAACCTGGGCACTGGCCAAGGCCGAGGTCTCACCAGCATTTGGGGACCTCCCCTAGCCCACCAGTATTAGCTGGAGCTCAGAGTCTCAGTCCTCCCAAGGTGACAGGGCATATTCCCTGGACACCAGGAGGAAATGGAAAAAAACAGAGCCCCCATCTCCTGCCACCCCACCTCCTCAGGGTTTGCAAGGCCCACACACCAGACAGTGCACATTCCTTTACCAAAAAGCTAGGACATTTTCAGAGGGGAATAACTATGAAGAGAAGCAAACATGTTAAATTTTACCTCTCCCAGGTTGCACAAGGGCAGCAGCTGGTGGCGCTGACTTTCATGACCTTGTGCTTGAGATGTTTCCCCGACAGCTGGAATGCAGTAGCATGATCTTGGGTCACTGCAACCTCTGCTCCCTGGGTTCAAACTATTCTCCTGCCTCGGCCTCCTGAGTAGCTGGCATTACAAGCGCCCACCACCACGTCTGGCTACGTTTTGTATTTTCAGTAAAGATGGGGTTTCATCATGTTGGCCAGGCTGGTCTCAAACTCCTGACCTCAGATTACAGGCAGGAACCACTATGCCCAGTCAAATTTTTTTTTTTTTTTTTTTGAAACTGGGCTTTGTTGCCCAGGCTGGAGTGCAATGGTGCAATCTCAGCTCATTGCAACCTCCACCTCCCAGGTTCAGGCGATTCTCCTGACTCAGCCTCCTGAGTAGCTGGGATTATAGGTACATGCCATCACACCCGGCTAACTTTTGTGTTTTTAGTAGAGATGGGGTTTCACCATGTTGGTCAGGCTGGTCTCGACCTCCTGGTCTCAAGTGATTTGCTCGCCTTGGCCTCCCAAAGTGCTGGGATTAATGGTGTGAGCCACTGAACCCAGTCTTTTTTTCAATTCTAATAGGTATTTGGATCTATTTTCCTTGTCTCCATCCTAGAGGTCAAAAACCCAGATAACTTAATG